GTTAATTATTTTTTCTTTATTTGCTTTTGTTGTTGTTGTTGTTGTTCTTTTATTGATCTTGTGAATTGGATGATAATCAACGATAACGGTAAAAAAAAGTACAATTTAATTCTTTATAATTATAAATTTGAAGTAAAATATCTGTCTAATGTCTGAATATAATTTTAATTACCTTTTATGCTTTTTGTTGTTGTAGATGACAATGATGGAATGGAAATTTCCACAAAATATTTGATAATTATTCACATAAACATTGATACAAGAAGGCACCAAATAGATAGACAGTGGAGCAATGTCAGGAGATGCAGTTCTGTAGTAGTCAGTGACCAACAATAGGTTCATACGCTGTTTCCCGACCGTTGTTGCTACCTTGACGTGGTGGTCGGGCTTGCCTATCGTGATGAAGCAACTGAGTTATACTGGCTGGAACAAACGTTTCTCAAGGTTCTACCATGTCAGACAGGTCGGTTGAAGAGCGGTAAGACTAAAAGCAACAAACCTAAGGTCCGAAGGCGAAGTCGTACTGCTGACTGTACAGAGGTGTGACAGTCATAAGGTGTTTCCTTCAGACAACCAGCATGACAGCGATGCTGCCTTCCCACAAGGAGGGGTGGGGTTAGAAAAGGTCCACCCCAAAAATGCACACCTCGCCTTATCCCATGGGTATCCGTCTCCGGCAGTAAGGTCTCAACAAGTACTGAGCTAACACAAAAATTACCCATAAAAAAGGTCGTATGTGACCGACTTCAAGCAGTTGTCCCTTGGGCACTGCGGTCACTAAGACCACCTCTAATCCAATTTCCTTTTCAGGTACCTCCAGATCAACCCTTCCACGGTGTGGGCAACCGGGAAGTGATAACCGCTCTCATACCTCTGACAGCATTCAAAACTGACATACGCCATTTGTTTCCTTAGGATCCTGGGACCCATGTTCATCATTGGTTTGGAATCAGGGTTTTCCAATTCCCCTAAGTGAATCCTCCGTACCCATCAACTTGGTTAAAGCGTTAGACATTCGCTTTTCGCCCTCTCAATTTCGTAAACAACAGCAGTACTGAGAGAAGGCAATGAGTAGGACTTCCCTGAGAGTAGTTGTATGCACGTGGCCATGTGCGAGTATTTAGAGAGGAAGAGCTGATTTTCTTAACTCTCGGCCATACCACGGCATTCTGGGGCTATATGGATTTTTCAGATGTTTTTAATAGGAAGGTGACCTCAGCTTGATATATTTCAATGTTAGTCTTAGCAAACTGTACAAATGACCTTTGATGACTCTGAAACAACATTGACGAAGTAAGATCCGCCCACAGCCAACCAAGATGCAGTTGATACGAATGTAGATAGTTTTCTGATTTTAAATATAAAGAACCTTTAAGTCATCCATTAAAATTTATTATTCTTGATCCTTTTGTATCTAAATCTGATTGGTCCGTCAGTATAACATACATGTGCCACTGAAGATTTATTCAAAAAATTACTTGTCATAATTACTACTGACTCCGATAAACAACTTCTTAATTTCAAATTCCATCCAGCAAATATTGATGAGTTTAAATGAAAAGTCATACTGTTTCAGCTGGCAAGAGCATACTGTAACTAATTAACTCCAAGGCTATTACTGGTCTTTGCTGAGCTAACATGTTAAAATGCAAATTTTACAGTTTGATAACTGGAATAAATAATTTCATTCATATGAATGATATCAGGCATAAAAGATTAATTATTCAGTTTATCAGTAAACGAATGTAAATACTACAGTAAAATGGAAAAACACGTTTTAACGAAATCTGATGACGTAGAGATCGAAGCAAGATTGAGATCTTAAGATGTTTAGTTCAAAATACGATACAGTAGGGAATCACCAATTAGTGGCCACTTGGACTGATCTATGCTCATGCTATTTCCTACGCTAGTAATGACTGACAATAACTTGAATAAAACAAGTGAAAGACTTAAGTGCAACTGACAAAGACGTTTACTTACTTACCCCTGTTACCCCTCGTGGAGGAGCATAGGCCGCCCACCAGCACTCTTCATTCAACCCTGTTCTGGGCAACCTTTTCCAGTTGCTATTCATCCTTTTCATTTTTGCTCTCACAGACTTATTTCTAAACAAGTTGACAATTAGTTAACTCCTTAAATATTCCATCTCAAGACTGGCATCTAAACCTTGGGCACCCGAACAGTATCATAGCCCCCACACACACACGAATCAATGATTACTACTGGCCTCATTGTTATTGTGTGGCGCATATGTATTTGGTGCCCCTTGGACCAATGTTTGTGATCAAATAAATAACATCTAAACATGTATTAGAGATTGTTTGATTGAAACATACCCACATTACGACTATTAGTCAAATAACAAGAAATAATGTATCACTAGACTGATTAGTTCAAACAGATAATGGCTAGATCTAAACAAGAAGACTTATTTAGGAAGGTAAATTATTATTAACCTGAGGTTTTAAATCTTAAGCAATGAGAATGCTCAAATCTAAACTTTGAACAGTAATAATCAACACGACTCAGTATTGAAGATGTTGACTTAACACTTTTATCAATAATACAATGTAACTCATCTATCAAGTGCAAAATTATCTGATTTTGATAACTTATGGACGACCTTTGAACTAATCTTAAGTGCCCTTGAGAAATTTCAGCCAATCAGAAAAGTATAGAGTAATATATTATACAAAACCAAAAAATTAGAGGACAAACTTCTTTAACATGGTCTGGAAACTTGTCGAGGTTAGAAAAAGGCTCTGCAGTTCTGAAATCGTATTGCATACGGTAGAGGAATTCATCCATGTGACTCCATAGTAGTCGGTCTCTGGAGCCATGATAAGGTCGCAAAAATTCTTTTAGCGTCGGCCATATTGCTCCCATATTATTGGTGTACTACCGTGGTGGAGTCTACAAAATCTCGCTTGTTAACGATGATAAGATGCACGTAACCAAGTCTAGATAGGCATCGATGTGCTCTCTAGTCACCCATGTATATTATGGTACCCGGGTGCACATACTCTGCTATAATTAGTATTATCGTTGAAGCCTGTGGGTTTCTTACGTGCTGGAAGTGCCTTTCATGAGACGATCTATCAAATGTACCAAAGGCCTGCTAAGTATACTTAAGGAAGTGCTACTTACCCAGTCTTTATTAACACTTCTTGCTCTATTGAATTAGCGTTTTCTAACAACTGTTCCATCAATTTCTACGATTCACCCGATTCCTACAAACGACTGATTCAAGCTTTCCATCTTTATTGAGCATATATCTCGACAGTACTTTTAGTGGCCCTGGAATATCTGATTCCAGTTAGATCAGATAAATGATTGCTATCGAAATGTACATATCGTCAATCCTCGTGTATAATCATCGACTAAAATAGCGTCAGTGAATAACGGAATTAAATAAGTCAAATACGAGAACGAAGTTTTAAATACGTTTATTTCGTACAATCGTTGATCTGCACGGACAATCGCGGAGACGGAGCGAAACGGAATGACACGCAGTGGAGAAGGCATATGAAACAACTCGATTTAATCAGGCGTTAATCGATATTTATAGTCAGACAAAAATAGGTTACAGACATGTGGTAAGATATGAAATGCACACACATGCACTCACATAAAAAGTCAAGGTTGACAAGCGAATAATTAACAAAGTGAAAGTGGGACTCAAGATGAATGAATAAAGTGGCCTGTCTGGAAGCTAGAATAAGCTGTGTGGGCTTAACATAACAACTGATACTACATACTCATAACACTGAACTCCCGAAGCTTCAGCAACATCTGCAAAGGTTCCAGCCAGTGTTACTGGTGCTTTTATTGTCCAGTTTACAACAATTATCTTAATCTGTCTTGGTGTCAATCGGGATCAAGCGAAAAATGTCCCCATTCTAGCAGATGTTTTCCTCTAACATATATTACATCGAAATACAAAATCGTCACGATAGTCTGCACAATGTCCAGCAGTCATTTGAACACTGCAATCACAAATACAGAAACTTCCCAGTAATCCCATATGTTGTAGCCGCTCAACTATAACGTCCTCCTTGAAATCCGCTGTAAACAGATCATATATGAGCAAAAGGTGTTGAAATAGGCACCATGACCTTGAAATCACTCACTCGCTTCTAGTTGGCTTGTCTATAAATTATAATCTCGCCACAAATTTTGTCTGTAAAGCTATTACTATCGATTTAATCTGAAATTCGTTTTTGTTTGTAGCTTTAGTTCTCCTGACAGAAACGTGAACAGTACACAAACTATGTATCAGCAGATTGATAAATTATCATTTAATCAAGACACATCATATATGCAACTTTCAAATTGCCCTATATTGATAATGATAATACGTAGGTGGAATATATAAATGAAATTTAAACATGAATTAACAACAACGACTGCATATTACATGTATTTACTCAGATGATTTCTCAATTGACCGATGTCTATCTGGATTAATTCGATTATCCATTGAATGACAAACTATAACTGTATGGATTTATAGAATGTAAACTCGGATTTGAGCTTAACGGTTTGCACAAGGATTAGAATTAATACATGAACTAAAACCTACACAAAATAGTAATCAATAAATAATTTATTTACCAAGGGTTAAGCTAATTTTCTGAACTGTGAATCATATCCACTATACATTATAATAGTCAATAATAATGGTGGTTGGAGGTAGTCGACAGGATCCCCTGGACCCGGGTTCCGTGCTACTTGGCACTCGTCAGCAAGGTTTACCTGTAATCCTGAGTGAACTGGTGCTCCCTAACGGATTCGATCCCATGTCACCCAGTTTCACAGTCAGAGACGTTACCACTGGGCTATCCGGGCCGCGACCGACCTCCTGTAAGACTGAGATGTAATCACAATTGATTGATCACTGGGTGATGATCGATGTCATTGTGTATCAAGTCCTTCTTAGTGCAGATCGAATGCTATCGATCAATAATGCTTTTGTTTTGCCAATTTGAAAAAATTTGAATATGTAGTAAATAAGATTTAAATCTTATAGTCCAATATATAACAAATACAATATAATATCCATTAAGTCACAATCTCAACAGTGATTGGCGATAATATTATTCGAAAAGAAACCCCTAAAAAGAAAATGGGAGCTCCTTACAGAAAGTCAAGAAAATCAATCATCAGGCTAGTAGTAGTCATTAGAAATACTAAGATACATAGAAAATTAATGTGAATTCGGATCAAAACAGATTATGATTTATTCAAATAGAAAATTATATATAACTCTAAAATATAATTTACAAGTTGTTTTTATTTATAAAATAGCATATCTATTTATTCTTTTTTAACGTTCTTTGTTTATCGGCATTAAGCACTAATTGTTCATTTAATGGTAATCCTTTGCGTAATCTAACTTCTCGAATATATCGTTGTACTCTAGATATTCGACCTGTGGGTTCATCCATATTTTCATCAGTTCCATCATCACCACCACCACCACCACCATGAAGATTTGAAATAGGTAGTTTCGACCGAAAAAGTTTACTGGAACCTCCTTTCGTGCGAAACGGTTCACTAAAAGATTCTTTACTATCTATAGAAAACACATCTTTTTGTAATGGATCGATATCTAGCAATTCCCAACCACCGGGACGTAATTGTGGAAGGCTGACAACACCACTGGTACGTTTTCTTATTTCATCTGCAAGTCCAAAACTCTCAATAACAGGTAATCTGGCACTAATAACAAAAGTATTTTCGCCTTCTCTAAAATCTTCACCAACAACTCTGCCATATCGCCTGCGAAGAACTCCAAACATGCGTCCCAAAACATCACTTCGAGCCTGGGAAAACAACAGTTGAAATTTTTGTTATTGACAAGCAAAGAAATGAATTGGAAAATGAAGATCAAAGAATAAAATATTATGAAATGTCAACTAAAATATAGTGTGTGCATAAATCAATTCGTAAATTTAATTTAGATTTGGTTTCCATAAGTTTAAACTGTATGTTCCTTCCTATTTGATTTGTTTTCATGCCTGAAAGCAAGGTGTAAAGAAATGGATAACAAATTCGTGACTATATTGATTAATTCTTGACTGGAATGTAAATTAATAAGCACATGACAATGATATTATGAGTTGTACAATTAAGTAAATAAATAAAAACTTTAAAAAGTAACTAGAAACAGTTCAATACATAATTAGTAAGCATACTTGTAATTCCAAGTCATATACAGCGATCATTAAGCGTTGAAATGGACAGGATTGAAATGCAGCTATGCAGGCTCGTGTCATAGCTGGTGTTAAGAGACCTGGTGGAATATCATGTAACCATGACATGTCGGATCGTCGTTGCCAATAAGGGATTTCTTTGGTTGTGTCAAAACAAGTTTCCGTTTCGGGATTCTAGGAAAAGATAACATCAAAGAATGAAAGTAAACACAGGAAATAATTTTCGTCACGTATAATGGACATGATTAAGTGGAAACTCAACTAATTGAACTTTAGAATCGAGTTTATGGATCAGTTTGCTTGGTGGTCAAAGACTTCTGTTTTTAATCAGTAAGACGACCATTTTTTCTGAGAAAACGAACGTTTACAACACAAAGTGTGGCTCAAGACCGAGTGCATAAACTTTTATTTGTTAAACAACTAATATTAAGTGAATCAACACCATTATACAGTAACCAAATCGATATTTTTTTAGTTCCCACTGATGCTTTACAGTTTAACGGATAAAAGAAAATCCATAAATTACGACATTCTAGATACTTAAGCATAAAACGTGGTTTCAAACATACCTTGCCATTACTTAACATTCAATTATGTTCTTCTATTCCACTGAGACTGAGTTATTTTCACCAGGTCATCAGTTTGACAGTCAGCTACAAGCGTTATAAAACTTGGCATTTATATGCATCAGTTCAAGTAACGATATCGTATCAGCACAGATAGAGAAAATTACCAAAATAGATACCAAAGTAGTAAAAGCAGTAACAGTATCAGTGGTAATAGAAAAGTTAGGGATCAACAATACGGTTTGAGAATGAATGAATCCATGAAATAAAAAATTGTAAGATAATTTTTAAACTGTAGATCTAAGGGAAGAAAAAGAGTGAATCCATCTACGTTATCGCGATAAAATGTAAGCCATGCCACCAACGTATCTAAGCATTGGTTAGAATATAATCGCGAGGATCCTAAGTAGAGGATCTGCGCCTACTAACACGATTCAATTCAACAGTAAGCAACTTCATGGATCGATCCAAAAAATCCATTTGTTGCTTTCTGTTCAATCCCAAACTACTCCTACAACACAAACATCACACATTGAAGTAGGCGAGGTACAAAATACACGTCCAAACCACATCAGTTGGTAAAGATTCATCACTGCGATTTTCCTACTGCCTTGAATCTCAAGTTGGTATTACTTAATGATCTCAACATATTTGAGCAATTCTTCGAAGGCATTTATGGTCGAGTGCTAATAACCTATGAATAACACCTTTTGAAAAGTCACTCCTGGTTTTTAACGTATAGAATGAATTACTTTTTTTCAAAAAGCCATATATATATATATATATATATATATATATATATATAGAGAGAGAGAGAGAGAGAGAGAGAGTTACCTGTAAAACAGACACGTTGGAATTCTCGACATCAGACAATTGATCAGACTGACTATCTTCATTTTTTGAAGAATCAGAACACCAATTCTCATCATCATTATCACTATCTTGGTCAAGCTCTTCTGAACTGCTGTGATAAAAACGCTCAATTTCATCACCATCATCATCTAACCATGAGATGGATGTTAATCGTTTTGATTTACGTTTAGATTTATTGCTTAATAATTGATTATCCGGTTTATAATCAGTTGAATAGGTAGTGGCAGTAGTAGATGGTGGTATTGAATTTTCCAATGGTAACGATGCTGTTAATTCATAGTTAATATTTGATTCGTGCGATTTATTTTCTTGAGAAATAGCATTATTACTATTAACAGTAGTAGTAGTAGTAGTAGTATTGTCACTACTATAATTTGGTAATTTTAATGTATCCAAACTTTCTGCAACAATTTCTTCTAATACAAATACAATACCGTACATTGGTTCAGCACAAAGTGGTCCTTTTAAAGTGGCCTGTTGAAAACCTCGTAGCAATGCTTTACCATAACTAATAATTGGTAAATTGATATTCGATTTTTTATTTACACTTTTTAAATGTATAGTAGAATTATTCAATGATGAATTAAGTTTTTTACCCCAAACAGTACATAATGGAAAATAATCGGTATTTAAATGACTAATTAATATATTTGGTCCAGTTTGATTTGGTCCAAAAGCTAACAACGATGTTGTTATTTGATTCCAATTGATAGAACATGCGGTAGTACATTTTGATGTTAATTGAGAACAGATATTTGATAGCTGTTGCTCGAATTCAGATAAAAGTTTAGTGTAATTTAATGCCTAAAAAGAGAAAAAAATTATTTTTTTCTCACAAGATCAGACTCATATACAACGTAGAACCTGATATATATAGTGCATCAGTTCAAACTGTCATATTAGAGAAATACAGCGAGATAAAGTTACTAAAGTAAATAACACAGTAGCAGATGTAGTGAAAGTATCAGTCGTAGTAGTATTAGAGGAAAAGAGTAGGTATAAATAAAGTATAACATTTAGGAACCCATAGTCTAATAGAAGACAAAGGGTAAATGCGCCTTCGCCGTTGCAAACGATTTTATGCCATGTCACTCAAAGTATCTAACTAGTGGTTAAGATGGTCCTGTGAACCTAAACTAGGTTGTCAACACCTATTTAAATGTCCCGAAATGCCCTGGTACAGTCGATAGTGGGGAGAGTCAGCTACAACGTAGGACCAGCCACATATATGCATCGGTCCAAGTTGCCATACCTCATTAACACAACAAGATGGACACCGGATTCATAAAAGTAGTTAATTCAGAGTTGGTAATATATAAAAGAGAGATTGCAATAAGGATATAGTACAGAAAGAAAGAATTAGTTCGTAGAAAGAAAGATATGAAGCGATTTTAATCTCATAGTTTAAGGGAAGACAGGGAGTGTATACTCTTACGCCATTGTGATCGATTCTGAGCCATGTCATCAAGAGTCAGTCAGTCAGTAACAACGTAGAACTTCGTACGTACGTACATCAGTTCGAGTTGCCACACCACATTAGCACAGAGATGCACTTGTCGATTCAAATCCCGTAGTGGTAGAGGTAATAAGAGTATAAACAGTAATCGGGAAGATTAGGGTTTGGAGATGTTATTTAAAGAGTATAATCCAGTGAAAGAAATTTGGAAAGAGGAAAAAAGGGACATTAAGAATTCAGAAGGTTAGAATATGGGAGAACACAGAGAGTGGATGCACCTGCGCCATTGCAAACGATTTTGAGCCATGTCATTCAGGGTCTCTAACCATCGGTTGCTGTCATCTCGCGGTCCCCACCCAGGTAGTCTGCACCTACCAACATGACTCAGTCCACTTGTCAGTGACTTCATGGACTTGTGCCATGTTTTGGTTTGGCCGCCCCTAGCTTTCTTCCAACCTACTCCTATACCACTGAACATAGCACGTCGAGGCAGTCGGTCGTTGGGCATACGTAACACGTGTCCCAGCCATCTCAACTGATCAAGTTTCACTACGTCATCAATTGATTTGCCATCCTTACCTAGTACCCGTTTCCTAACAACTGTGTTACTTACTCGATGGTCCCATGATATACGAGCAATGTTTCGAAGACACCTATGATCAAATACTAGTAACCTACGGATATCCTCTACTCTTACCGGCCATGTTTCACTGCCATAAAGTAGGACGGAACGAACTGCTGCGCAGTAAACACGTCCTTTGGTTGATAGACGGATATCTCGCCTACGCCATAAATGACGCAAGTTGGCGAAAGCAAGCTAGTCGAGCCTTCTGTATCCGTGCTGAGATTTCGTCACACACTAAACCACAAGGGCTGATGAGACTTCCAAGATAAGTGAAGCGGTCGACACACTCAACTACTTCACTCCCTATCACTAGTTCGGGTGTCGATGTAACCCAATCCTGAAGCAACATTTTGCATTTCGAGGGAGAGAATCGCATCCCGAACATGCTTGCATTGTTGCTTAGAGTGGTCAGAAGACTCTGCATTTTGTCAGCGTCTTCAACAAATAAAACTATGTCATCAGCATATTCTAAGTCAACAAGTGAACCTCCTGGTAGAAGTTCAACCCCTGTATATTTAGATGAGGAGAGTGTTATCTCTAAAACTACGTCAATGACAAAGTTGAACAAGAATGGGGAGAGTGGACAGCCCTGACGAACACCACTTGAGGTGATCAATTATGATGACAGTTCGCCACAAGCTCTCACTCTACCAGTTGTGTTCGAGTAGAGAGCCTTTATAAGGTTAATGTACTTCTTTGGTACTCCTTTCAGTGACAAACACTGCCATAGAACCTCACGATCAATAGAGTCGAATGCCGCCTTAAGGTCGAGAAATACTAACATTGTGGGGCGTTTGAATGTGTGCCTGTGTTCTAGAACCTGACGTTGTGTGAATATTTGATCTATACAACCACGTCCAGGTCGAAAACCAGCCTGGTTTTCTCTAGGCTGCTCTTCACGAGCTCTAGTTAGCCGTCGAAGTATTATTGAGGCTAATATTTTAGACACTATATTAGTCAAACTGATTCCTCTGTGATTGTCACAAGAGGACTTTTGTCCTTTCTTAAAAACTGGCACAACCAGTGATTGAGACCAGTCAGATGGGATTACGTCCAGTTCCCAAATTCTACCTAAGACCTCGGTTAATCTCATTGCTAATACTGGACCACCATCCTTAAAAATCTCAGGAGTAAACCTGTCAGGGCCTGCTGCTCTCCCTCGCTTCAGATTTCCTATGGCTTTTTCAACTTCGTAAAGGGACGGAGGACTTACATTAACTTGCCATTCAGGTTGACTGGAGATCGTGGGAAACCGAAGTGTGGCTGAAGGCCAGTTGAACTGATCCCTAAAGTGTTCTGCCCATCGATCCAATCTCCTGGATTGAGAATGAATAATATGTCCATCTTTCTCTGAGATTGTTTCGCTAACGGTCGGGTTCCTAATTCCGGTTTCCTTAACGAGTCTAAACAATTGTCTGCTATTACCTATTGCCGCTGCCTTTTCCATCTCTCTTGCTTTCGCTACCCACCACTATTCGCGATCATTGCGTAGACTTCTTGTCAGCTTGCGCTTAAGCTGACTCCGCTCTTCATTATGTTCAGAGCCAGGTGGAATGAGTTTCCGAGCATTTATCAGTGAGATAGATGCTGCTGAGATCCAGTGTTGCTCCCTAACCTTCTGGTTTACCTTACTAGCAGATATCACTGCTGTTTCCACAGCTTTTCGGATATCATTCCATGCTGCATCGGGGTAGGCATCACATACATGGCTGCCTAACTGTTTTCCTAGTTGTTCCTGAAATATACTCTTAGCTTGACTATCATTAAGTAGGGCCCTAAGAGGTTTCCTTGCAGGATCTTTCCTACGTCCAGTAAGACGCAAGCAAATACGCGCTCGCACTAGAGCATGATCTGAATCTAAGCATGTGCTCCAGAATGAGTGACAGTCTTCTATCGAGCCCCTCCATCGGTGGCTGATAGCGATGTGATCTATTTGGGTCCAACGTTGGGACGAATTAGGGGGTCGCCATGTTAAAAGATGTTTTTCCTTATGCTTAAAGTTAGTATTTGCAAGGAACAGGCGGTTATCTGAGCATAGCTGCAACAGACGGTCGCCATTATCTGTTCTTTGAGCCACGACACCATAGGATCCACCTAGGTGTCTTTCCTTATCGCTTAGTTTACCTACTTGAGCATTAAAGTCACCGGCCACTATTACTACATCCGAGCGCTTAGCTTTTCGGAGAAGGTCCGAAAGCTTTCTGTAAAACTCATCTTTTACATCATCTGAGCTGCAGTCAGTGGGAGAATAAGCAGAGACGACGAAGAGGCAACGACGAGTGTCCCTATCTTTCCGGATTCTTACTGTTCCGTTCAGTCGGACAGCGCACAAACGACTGTTTACTGGGATCCACTCTAAGAGAGCTAGTTCTGCCCTAGGACTCAATGCTATACCTACGCCGGCGAGGCCACGGGAAGCAGAATCAGGGCTTCCAGATACATGAAGCGTAAATCGAGTCGGTTCTTTATTTTGGCATGGTGAGGTCAAATGAATGACGCTACTTGGATCCTGTATGCGCGTTTCGAGGACGCAGCACACATCGATGGCGCGAGATTCTAAAGTCCTAGCTAAGGAAGCCTGCTGTCCTATTTGGCAAAGTGTTCGTACGTTAAAAGCTCCTACGTGTAGTTTAGAGCGTGGTTTCAGGAGACCAGGAATGGCGTTCCACGTACTCGAATCGTTTGCCCTAGCGGTGCGAGGTGATAAAGAGACGTGAGGAGGGTTAGTCATGGAGATAAGAGAGGTATTAGGAGGTGTAGGAAGGATTTGAATGTGACCACCTTGGTCTCTTGTGCTGTTACGGGTATGAGGGCTGATGTCACTTCCCGGCTGCCCACACCGTGGAAGGGTATTTCTTGAGGAACATGAAAAGGAAATTGGATTAGTGTTAGTCTTGACGACCTGGGAGCGTGACCGCAGAGCCCAAGGGACAACTGCTTGAGGCCGGTCGCGCACGGCCTTTTTGTGGAAGGTTTTTGACGTGTTAGCTCCGTTCTTCAAGGGGCCTTACCGCCGGAGACGGAAATCCGTGAGGTAAGGTGAGGTGTGCATTTTTAGGGTCGACCTTTTCTAATCCCACATCTCCTTGTGGGAAGGCAGCATCGCTGTCATGCTGGTTGCCCGAGGGAAACACCTTACTGATGTCACACCTCTCTACAGTCAGCAGTACGACTTCGCCCTCAGACCTTGAGTTGCTGCTTTTAGTCTTACCGTTCGCCAATCGACCTGCCTGGCATGGTAGAACCTGCAGGAACATATGTTCCAGCCAATATAGCTCGGTTGGGTCATCACGATAGGCAAGCCCGACCACCGCGTCAAGGTAGCAGCTTCGATCGGGAGTCTTCAATAATTGCTTACGATAGTCACGCGGACCCCAACCAAGTAGTCTGCATCTACCAACATGGCTACAAGTTAGTGACTTCAAGCACTGATGCCACGTTTTGGTTTGGCCGCCCCTAACTTTCTTCCAACCATCTCCAACACCGGTTAGCATTGCACGTCGTGGTAATCGGTGTTCAGGTATACGTAACACGTGGCCCAACCATCTCAGTCGATGAAGATTCACAACCTCATCAACTGATTTACCTTCCCTAATACCCTGTGTCTAACCTCACTATTACTTACCCGGTGATCCCAGCAGACGCCAGCTGATGTTCATAATGACTAAAGCACTATAAATTTGTTCATACAGGAAAAAAAGAAGAGATATATGAACTTTTTTTTCCAACTTACTTTACTTTTAAAAGCTCGAATTAATTGAGAAACTTTTGAAGATCCATAATGTTCAATCCAATTTAATAATTCACATGGCATTGGATGAGCAGTAACTCGTATTAATATTCTTGTTCTAGGTTTACTATGAGGTAATTGAAATATACTAATAGGAAAATTATTAATATCTAAATTATGATGAAAATTATGTAATTTTTGTGTACCACAACTTATCGATTTTAAATTATCCCCAGTAATAGTATTAGTAGTAGTAGTTGGCTTTAATTCATCATCTCCTGTAGTACCTAATGATGATGATGGTAATTGTAAATGAAGATTTTTTAATTGATCATAATTCAATGTTAAATTAAACTTTTGTAATAAACTTTCAAATTGAATATAAGCTTTCTCATATGATAAATTAGACAGGCTAATTAATGATAAAGAATTAGATGTATTACATGCATCAATAATTGTTTCACGAAATGGTACAACAAATGGAGATATTTGTAATTCAACTTCAGGTGCAAAATATTTTATTAAATCTTCTATACATTTTTGTAAATGAATTTCACCAGCAGCACGTATAATATATTCACCATTGGCTGTAATTGTTACCTGGATAAAAGAGAAAATAATATTTTAAATTAGGATAATTGTATATTCAGACCATCTAGTTGAAGTTTATGTGATTATCGTAACTAATAGTTGGAGACATTAGGAGACAGTCAGTCAGCTACAACGTTGAACTAGGCATACGCATATGCATCGGTTCACGTTGCCATACCTCATTAACACAAGATTGCAATAAGGATATAGTACAGGAAGAAAGAATTAGTTCGTAGAAAGAAAGATATGAAGCAATTTTAATCTCATAGTTTAAAGGAAGACAGAGAGTGTATACTCTTATGCCATTGTGTACGAATCTGAGCCATGTCACCAAGAATCTCCAACCATTGCTTACAATAGTCACGCGGACCCCAACCAAGTAGTCTGCATCTACCAACATGGCTACAAGTTAGTGACTTCAAGCACTGATGCCACGTTTTGGTTTGGCCGCCCCTAACTTTCTTCCAACCATCTCCAACACCGGTTAGCATTGCACGTCGTGGTAATCGGTGTTCAGGCATACGTAACACGTGGCCCAACCATCTCATTAGGAGAAATAGCTCAAAATCAGTCAAAATGGTGTAGATATATTTATTCTTTATCTTCTCTTAAATGTTCAAGTTCAAAACTATTCTATACCTTCATTCCTAAAGCTTAGTTTTGCTGGTCCCGTTCTTAACTGTATGACAAGAGAAACTAAGTCCTATATAGAGAAATTTGAATATAGCTCACTTCTACCTGACATTTGTGTTGAGAATGTTGTTCAGAAGAACAATGAAAGCTTCACAATCAAACTATCCAGCTCATAGAACGAAAATCTACTGAATAGAGTATATTGTACTAATAAGGCCATTACTAGTACACGCAATATGTATGTACGTAACTCGTATGTAACACGTGCAGGATTTACTTACTTAGTCTTGAAGCATATTACTTTTGGTGGCTCTCCCGGTTAATATAAGAAAAGTACTAATTAAATACTTAATTTTACAACATTACATCACCTCTCCACGTCAAATGACATTGTGAAACACGTTGGGAAGGAACTTAAAATAAAACAGAAGTCGAAAGACCTTTGGTTACTGCAACTAATAACGGTAATTTCACATTTATCTCAGCTCTACATTTTGGTCAGTAGTAATTACCACCTTAAGATATTCAGGTTATGTGAATTGGAATATTTATTCCTTGATTTATAGTCTCACTACAAACCTTAGCTAAATATCGTCAAAATCAATAACGAATTTTTGTAGTGTTATAAAATACATCATGACTAAGTCAAAGATGAAATATATAACTTATATTTTTACAGCTATTGATAAATTCACTATTAGCAAATAGTAACATTAAAATAAACTTACCTCAGCACAGGGATCGGCACGATCTAAAAGTCGAAGACCACGTTCCAATCTATAAACATCTTCAGGATTTGTAGCAGATGCAGGTTCAACAGCAACTGAAATTACTGGTGCCCCATGCCAAACTGCTAATCCAGCTAACGGGAGAACAGGAGCCAGTTCAGTTTCACTGCTATCTGTTTTATTAAATGAAGAAACTAGAGATAGTCGACTGACCAAGAGACCCGATTTCGGTAGACAAGCTATTAAATCTGGTCCAGTAAGACCTACTATGTTTCCAGATGGTACAGGTTCGAGAAGTTTAACGAAATCCGACTGACCTCCTAATAGCTGAAGGACATGAACAACGCAAGCTACGTAAACATGACGTAAATATTTAGGACCAGTCAATCGATACTCGCCTGAACCTCCAACAGATCCTGAACGACTAACAGGTAAGGAACCAGAATTTATTGGACTAAATGTGCAAAAATTATCAATTGAACCGGTTTCGTTTCCAGTTAATGAAATTTCAGCATCTTCATCATCGTTTCGCAAACGAACAGGACCAATTGGGAGACTTTCAGGATCTGTATCCAAGAGATATGAAGGAACCTGACAGCAAAATAAGTAAACTTAAAAAAATGGAAGCTACTCTATGTAACATGATATGCATACTGGTATTTTAAAATTTAAACAGTTGTTCTTGGCTAGTTCAGTGAACCTGAAACAGCAGGAACCAAAATTTGAATAATATATGAAAATGTTTAGACAAATTAAAAAAATTTAGCCTATTGAAATGCAATATTTAGACATTCATGAAAAAGGAAGGTACTTCATGATAAATTTAAGATACAAAGGTTGTTGTTAGAACGTATCAGTGATATTTTGTTCTAACCAGCCAGTAGCGTTAGTTATCACTTATTTGATGAGTGAAGGCTGTGGAAACTAGCCGGTTAAAAAAGCGACAACATAGAATCAAATATATCAAAACTGAAAACTATTCATCACTTCATTGTTTACAGTTTAGTGACTGAATGCTATTCATAACCCAGTCTCATAGTGAACTAATCGCTCCTCGACTAGTTCGACAATAATGTTTGTGATTGCAAATACTCTAAATAATTTGGATTGTAGCCCCTGATGGAACGTGGACTTCACTAATGTCCCAGACACACTTAACTGATTAAATTTCAGAATATCAAACTAGTTATATATTAGAATGTTTTATGCAGCTTCATAATGGTAAGCCTTCTAGCTGAACGCTCGAGTCGGTTTCTGAAACGCTCCTAATAACCCATGCAAAATCTACAGGGTAACTTGAACATATGAGAAAAGGTGCGAAGTGTAAAAAGCACGTTTTACTCCAAAGTTAGCTTATGTAAAGAAATTCAAGGGTATTTATAGTATTTCAGATGGCCTTGGGCTTCTGGAAGTCTCCGGAACCATACTAGATATAGTAGCAGGATAAGTAATTATCCACTCAGAAATATGACACGTGATTCTTTACTTTCTACATGTTTCTGAGGAGCTTCTATCAAACGCTGATTGGATAAAAGGTTTTCCCGCGTTTTCTGGACCCCTTTGAACTTTTTCGAGGAATACTTTGGATCGTTCCAACAAATAAAAGCACTTACAAATATTGAATCTATGACTGTAAATTATTACTTACTTTTCTACCATTAAATTTTGGTCCAAGAACAAACAATTTTTGACCAGGATAAACAGAACCACTAAATACTCGAGCTAAAGCAATAAAATCAGTATCTGTGAATGGGTTACACAGTAACAAAGGAGATCGTAGATTAATTTGTTTGGGGATAGAAGATTGTATTCCACTTGGATGATTATTTACATCGGTATTCGCTGTATCACATGATGGTGAAATCTGGTCAGAATCTGTACTCTCTTGTCTAAAAAGAATAAATACAGAATTCAAAATGACTTTTTAAAGGTTACAAATATTTCAAACAATTAAATACGACAGTAGCATAGAGTTAGGCGAATGTCAAACAATGAACAAAAACTAGTTCTCTTGAAAACTGCATAGATTTGTCATGCATATAAACAATGAACATGTTAGACAGCTATAACAGGTACAAATACGACCACTTAACTTTGAGCCACACTATAATTGAGGGGCAATGATACTACCCGATTGATCAAAGTAAAATGGATGGGGCGAATTCCGAACCTGAGACCTAGTGACTGAGGTTCAAATATCTTAATCACTCTGAAACACCGCCTCGTCATCAGGATCAAGAAATTACGTAGAAAATTATATAAGATTGAAAACCACCGTGAGGTGAAAGTTCTTAACTGGATGATCATTTTCATCTTCAACAATACACAGAAACACGTTGGTTTCAAAAAAGTTATAAGGAATTAGAGCACATTCATAATATGTTGATTGGATTGGGATATCCACAGGGTTTCCTGAAGAAACACTTGCGTGTAACAAGCAAGAAAATAGTGACACTAACGGCTAATAAGAAACCTCTTTTCTTGAAGCTACAATTCAATGTCTGCTTCCAATTCTCGGTGTAGTGTGCTCTTTGGCATTCCTCTTTTTCGTTTCCCTTAAGGAATCTGTTAGGTTTGAAGCTTCATGAGTTCACTTAATCTGCGAACGAGAACAAGACTCAGTGACCAAAGACCAGTAATCTAGCTATTGATGCGTTCCAGCCCAGCTATCTAGAAGGTGAAGTCCAAGCTTGGTATGGAAAATATATTCTGCAAAACAGCCAGAAAACGAGCGAGCCCACAAACACAATTTAAAACGCATATATACAAGCATATATAATCGATATTGCCATGGGAAATTTTTAAGCATTAATCAATGAGTTCATCAATTGACTGCTACTTAATCATTTAATCGATAAGTTAATCGATATGATAAAATTACAAATATGAGTTTTTGGGATATGTCGTCCCCAACAGAATCCAAGTTAGCGCTCTTTTCGTAACGCAGTTTGATGATTTCCTTAATGTGTGTCCTATCTACTTCCAACGTCTTTTCATAATTCCCTCTTTAGCTGGAAGTTGGTATGTCCTCTCCCACAGTAAGTTGTTGCTGATGTTATCCGACCAAGGAGATTGAGTATCTTGCGTAGACAACTGTTTATAAATAATTGTACATGTTTGATAACGGTTGTAGTAGTTCTTCACGCCTCAACTTAGTACAGTAGGACTGTCTTGACGTTCACAATGAAGATTCTGATTTTGATATTGGTTGACAGTTGTTCTGAGTCCCATATAACCTTTAATTGTAGGGATTTTGCCCTCACTTTGCCAATCGTCGCCTTTACGTTTGCATCCGATCCTCCTTGTTCATCGATGATGCTTCCCAGGTACGTGAAAGCTTCCATCTCTTCCAGAGCTTCTTCATCGAGTGTGATTCGGTTGATTTTATACGTACTGTATTTGGGGATCTTGCTCTTCCCTTGTGTATGTTGAGGCCTACTGATGTGGAGGCTTCTGCTACGCTGGTTGTCTTCAATTAGATTTGCTTGTGTGTTTAGGATAGAAGAGTCAGGTCATCTGTGAAGTCCAAATCGTCTAGTTGCATCTAACCTGCTCATAGTATTCCGTGCTTCCCCTCAGACGTGGAAGTCATAATAATCCAGTTGAGGAAAGAGAAAGGTGGAGAGTAAGCAGTCTTTTCTGACTCCGGTCCTCACATGGAATGCATCTGGTAGCTATCCTTCATACACTATTTTGCAGTGTAGTCCGTCGTATGGATTCTGGATGATGTTGACGATCTTCTCAGATACGCCATAGCGTCGAACAAGGTACCATAAAGTTCTCCTACCCACACTGTAAAATGCTTTCTCACAGTTAAGGAAATCGATGTATGGTGACGAGTTCCATTCAATTTATTGCTCGATGGTCATATGTAGTGTCACGATTTGATTTGTGTACGACCGATCTTTACGGAATCCGGACTGTTGATCTCGAAGTAGCAACTGGCAGAAAACGACCTTGCTAAGAAAACGCTAATCAGCCTGAGTAGTACAAATGAAGAAAAAATACTTATCTTTTAGGTGTCAAATAAGATATATCTAACGGACAATAAAATGGAAACGATAATAAATATATTTGGTACAAAGTGAATAGACAGTCAACAAATGCTAAATCTTGAGATTTAATTAAGCTAAGATTGGAAACATTTTCATTTAAATAGCTGGCTTAACAGAATACTTTTTTGGTAGAGTGGATAGATGCGGCTGAGTAATGAAAGCGTTCAACATTTAGTCACTAAGTTGCACGTTCAAACACCGTTCTACTGACTTCACCTTGAGCAAGTGGGTAACAGAATTATAGTGTGGCTCAAAGTCAGGTACACGAAACTGTACCTGGTAGATAAGATAATAATAATAATAAAAATTAAAACTACGTAAATTGATTTTTACGAAGGTATGGAAAATTACACAAATAAATTACTTGGTATTTTTAGAAGCAGGATTACTAGTAACATTTGAAGTGAGACGTAATTTATCAGTCCAAAATACTTTAGCTACAAAAATAATGGTTGGAGCCAGTGATGATGAATCACAAGATTGAAGAGCTGAAACACAGAGAAGAAGTAGAATGAAGAACATTATTCACTCAAATAAAAAGACTCCATGATTAATTTGTCAACTGAACAATATAATTTGCAGTGATACAAGAAACAGTATTGACAGTATCAACTAAGAAACTGTGAAATTATTAATTGTACGATAGTTAGCGAGTTAATGTACAGTGTAAATAAATTAGAATCAGAATAATTTTCAATAAATGATTCGTATAAAAATGTCTTTCCTCAAAGTCGATGATTCATGATGTTTGCTTAGTAGATGCATCTACTGACTGTCGTGTTTAAAATTATATTAAGTATGTGAGTTGAAGACAAATACATCTTTTAGTATTACAACAAATAGATTTAGGGATTGTTAACAAAATAACTGTTCATGTTGAAATGACTCTAAAGTAATGTTAACTATATACGTCAGTTGAATCATCATCAAAATACAGATAAGATTTACCGTGAATGTACAGGACAGTTGCAGGTTCCTAAGCAGTTAATAAAGTCGACATGTTCATAAGTTAAGAGGATTATGAAGGTAGAATGGTCTAGTGATACCTTGAGACGTTTATAAACAAACACGTCGCGAAAACCAGAGTAGTTGATGGGCGGATAGTTAATACAAGATCTCTGCTTATACGCTTACAACTACGAGGTGACGCACCATTAAAAGCAATAATACAAGGGTTACACAGAATAATTTAGAGGACGTTCAAAGCATAAAAGGAACAACTAGTGCTATCTCGGTGTTCGATGGTGACACTTAGATTAAAAAATGAATTACCTAAAGCAATCAATTCCTACTGTATTTATTAATTAACCTGGTTCTATCGAGCAAATTATATCGACTAATTTTTTTGTAAATTGCGTTCCTACATTTGTGAACACTTTCCAATATAACTCAGCAAAAGTGTAGCTTAGACCATGAACAAATCAACTTTAGACGATTTAATGTGAAATAGCCATAAAATTAAGATGATGAGTTCACCTTAAGCTTATTTAATAGTGATCATAGTTTTCAGTTCGACAGTTGACGGGTGTGGCCCTCTAAGAAAACCACCTGCTTCGGTCTGGGTACCCGGGCAGTATCACAGCCCTCACACAAATCGAATGATTTATGTGGCGCATATCTATTTGGTGCCTCCTTGTACCAATATCTATGTGTTAAAATAAATAAATAATAAGTTGACGGCTTCGCCCCTTGACAGTGCATAGAGATTAGACTGTGTTGTCGTTTTACTATTTGATAACATTATAGATCTGCGGCTTAAACTAGTTGATTGGCTGTAAGCATTTGTAACTACAGAGAACTGCTTTTCATTAAGTCTGTTAGAAATGCTTCTATAATATAATGAGGCCTACCAAATCGGTTGTACAGAATATCCATGATACCGATATACCAACCATTTTCTGGTAATAAAATGTAATGTTCTGTTTTACCCTTGTCAATTCGTTCACACTAATGTAATGTTGGGTTTCATCATCGATCTCCAACTTTCGTCTTAGAACTCTTCATAATGGTTCAAAACTTGATAGGAGTCCTCTCAAACTTATGGATTTTTTTATTTTGGGCAACCTAATAACTACGACCTCATTGGGTCAACCTCTGTACTAAAGTCGAACCTATTAGCATATAGGTTTTCTACTGAAGTACATATAAATAATTACATTGGCACTTAACCGATTATATTATCTTCCTTTTTAACCTAATTCATATTGTTTCATACACTAACTAAGTATTTGGTCAATTAATTGATATGACTTGTAATTACATCATTATTTCTATTGTTCTGTGTTACTTGTAGTTATTTTGATGATTAGTGATACAATTTCAATCGAGTGGACATTACATTCCAATCAGTTCAAGCTGTACAATCGTATACTAAGCAAAACAAGTATCGAAGTTAAGAGATTTGATCAGGAATATAGTGAATAGTTTGATGCTATTCAGTCAATATATACCTCTACTTGGTATATTTTTAACATTTACATTTTATAATATGAAGTAAATTCATCATTTCATCTTGTAGTTTGATGTGTTTTAGTGATTTCATTGTTAGAATTTTAAGTTTCATTCTCCAAAACTTTTTTCGCTTCAAATCATTATGTTGTACTCCAATAATAAGTACATATTAACAATAATATTTAGTCAGTCAGTCAGCTACAACGTAGGACCAGGCACATCGGTCCAAGTTACTATACTGTATTAGCACAGCAAGATGAACACCGGATTCATAGGAGTAGTTAAGTCAATGTTGGTAATATATAAAAGAAAGACTCCATATAAGGATATAGTGCAGGAAGAAAGAATTAGTTCGTAGAAAGAAAGATATGAAGCGAATTTAATCTCATAGTTTAAGGTAAGGCAGAGAGTGTATACATATACGCCATTGTGATCGATTCTGAGCCATGTCATCAAGAGTCTCCAACCATTGGTTACGATAGTAAACTTGGGAAAGTTAGTTGAATAAGTAATCTGTGAATCAATGAAATATGTGTGATTAAATCAACACTTCATAAAACATACATTTAATGAAATACGTAACCATAACACACATCATTACTTACCTAAGCTAGCTCCAGATGTTGAATATATTGAATTAATTGGTACACGTGAAGTTTGATCGATTGTTATGACAGAATCTTTTTTGGTAAGTGTTGAATCACATAAAACTGTATCTCCATACAACATATGTACAGCTCGGTCAGCAGACACTGCTGAAGATGGACTGGGACAGATATCCGTTATGGCATGCATAAGTGTATGACCTAACGACAACCAAACACTCAGGAAAGCACGTAACACTCCACGACTATCAACATTACGAATAACACGTTGGTCTAAATTCACACCAACCTTTTGAGCCATTGCAAACACTTTATCACGTTTATCTTCAAAGAATAATGTCTTGAACAGTAAACGAAACAGTAAAATAATTAGCCACTTGTTGTGAGCAGGGGGAACTTATTAAAGGCTTTTAAATATTATAGCTCTACACTAAAATATGGATTTTGAAACTGATATCAATAATAATGTGGTATTACTACAAACTGATGATTCCTTTGTATTTGACTGAGCGCTTATTACGAATTACAAATATAACACACCCGGTTGTGCTCATCTAGTTCCAACTGCCTTAAATTGCGCTATTTCAGGAATTCTTACCTAGCAAATCAATCTGAGTACTTCTAATTATCATAACGGAAAAGAAACTCCATCACAGTTATTAAAAGGAAGGATTCTCCGCTCGAATATGAGGTATTTAGAGTCTGCATAAGTTATATAGTATAGTGGAAATGATATTCGACCAGTCACGTGGATTGTGAAGAATGTTGCAGAATCTATGGTTCGAATTCTAGATATCAATGATTGAAGAACACGAGACCGATATTTTGGTCAGACACAATTCCAGGAACCAGATCATGCACACACTATACCCAATATACAGCTAGACAGACACACGATGAACCTAAGGAGAAGGCGTACAACAGATTACTAAAATATGGATTCCCATTTAAGCTTTTGCGGTTGTGGTATTTGCACTAACGGATGATTCCTTTGTATTTGATTGAGTGCCTATTACGAATTCAAAGTGTGACACGCCCAAATGAGCTCATCTACTTTTATCTGCCTTAAAGTGCGCTATTTCGGGAATTCTTACTTCGATGAAAGACTTGGACAGCCACCATTACATCAAACTGAAGTCTAGCATCATCCAGATGTCTAAGTGTGAAGTTTCTTTACATCCTATTCTATCCTTTGTCTAAGCACGGAAAAGATATATTAAGACATGCATACACTAGAAACTGCAATATTTTTTACTTGATATGCATTCCATAAAGGCTCTAAGACCAACTGAACGAAAATTGACTTCTTCTGTTTTTGCCTAGCATTAGGTTTGACAATCATTTTATTTGATTCTGTAGGAGAGGAAGTTAGATAAAAATCACCCCATAGGGATTTTTGTAAAATTGAGCAAGGAATAGATAGGCGTTCAGACCAGGTCTGGCAAAATTGGTCTACACGAAATCCCCACGAATCGACAGAAGAGCAGAATACAACATTCCCTTTTTCAGGTGAAAAGTACAAGTTAGAATCGTCAGCTTTCCCAAGATTATTGCTCCAATCATACACGTAATTATCATGTTGTACATCACTTGAAAGGTTCTGGAAAATGTATAGTAGAATTTATATAAGTTCATAAAATTCACGGAATATAGTGGTGTTTGATGGAAACTATAATTAAAAATCAATAGAAGAAAAGACTGCAAGTCAAAGAGTAGCAAACAACTGGCGTGTAGCATTCTGCAGATCCAATGCAATATACACTTAAAGTTCCCTAGATAATGAAACTTAAAGTTCCTAAACCAAACACATATAACTCACATTCTCAATTAACTAATGATGTTATTTGATGTATTTTGTTATGAACAGCATTTAGCTGATAGTAGAAACTACAAGTTATTATTAGAACCTGAAAGAACTATCACTCAGACCAATTATCAACAGGTGATGTAACTATCTCCGGTTAAGGAATTATCAATATGAATTACATTTGAAAGTGGATGAATGGATGGATGCCGTGACCAGCGGAGCTAATCCGTGTTGTGTGAGGCAGTTACCCACCGAAGAAAATGGAATATAGTCGCCAAATGTCTCGGAGTGATTGATGTGAGATATTAACACCGTTGGATGCCGGTTCAATGATCTAGAGGTTGAGCGTCTGCGCATAAGACTGAATGTTCTTGGATTGATTCCCGCCTGGGAAGTTTTGGACGCACACAGATGAAGAGTTCCATACTAGGAGGAGATGGCCGTTCAGTGCATCCATCTCTTTTCAATCGTAGTCTAACTTAGACCGATTTCTGATTTCGCTGTAGCTTAGTTTAGTATGACTAGTGATTTTCGGTTTTCAACGGTACCCTAAATGAGATCAATCAGTGTCAGATGTAACCTACATACTTAGTTTACAATCTTCGAATAATGAAGACGCTTGAAAATGTCACAAAATAGAAAAAAAACAGATCACGTGGGATATAAGCAATGATAATAATGATGAAGAGACCAGTTCATTGTGAGAGTATTTCACCTTGAAATACATCTTACACTTTATGTAGATAAGTAACCAGAATTTCATTGACACCAATGTTGAGCCACATTTAGTGCAGTAAGGCAATAAACTAGATGGTTTTCGTAAGTCCCTCTATGGGCTGTAATAAACTAATAGATTATAAATTAACAAAACTATCTAATGTTTCAAGTTAATGCTGAAAAAATAGTTATTGTGAAGTATCATTTTATCACTTTATTCATTACATTTTACTGAATTCCCCAAGATGCTTACGCATTTCGGAATAACAACCGAAAATGGCTATTATAATACAATGTGACCAACAAAGCGACAGTCCTAGTTTCATCCCACGTATGCAATATCCCAAGGAGTCAACAGTACCCAATGCGAAATAGACACAACTAATGGATTATTTAATGAACATGGACAGGAACACTTACGGCATGCTTGTGTTAATCAATTTTCATCTGGCAACCGATAATGAATACATGTACAAAACGGATAAGTACTTACAAGTTCGTCGATATTCGTCTGCCACATACCATCTCTTTGACGCGTCATATCTGCAGAAAACATTTCCGCAAGGACGGAGTTGACTTGTTCTATCACTCGACACATGGTTTCATAAGCCTGCGACGGAGTTAGTTTTATTTCTACAACCAATCGATCGATCTTATTTAAAGCCAATAACAGAGTTAGTCTTTCATCCCAAGCTTGACGGAGCACCGTACGTGTCTATGAGAGGAGTCATCTTACGATCAAACACTTTACCTGAGGACATACTCCTTCGACAACATCAACAACGATAATTGCAGCATCACATAGTCGAACTGCTGTCGAAACTTCGGAAGAAAAGTCAACATGACCAGGGGAGTCCACTAAATTCACAAGATAATAATCTTCATCGTTTTTATCTACAGAGGAGACTTTCCGGTTGAAAATGAGACCAATTACACTAGATTTCATCGTTATGCCACGCTCTTGCTCCCCCTCAGTGTTATCCATATACCGCAATTTCCCTGATTGGCGCGAAGAAACAATACCGTTGGTAGCCAACAAGGCGTCAGCCATTGTAGTTTTACCTGTCAGTAAAAAACCAAAATAATAAACTCGATAAAAAGTTACTGATTTCTCAAACTAGAGGTGAAGGGGGGTTCGGATCTAGGACCTACCCTTCCATATAACTTGTGAATCAAGATTGCTACTGTCCTACATTATCAACAACACAAAATCATGGTAAAAATGTTGGGCATAGAGCGACAGATACTGTTACAGCAATGAAGCGTAGAAGCTGTATACACAGCTGAATGTAAATAAAAAACCAATATTGAATGATTTTACCATTACGGTAATGAAAAAAGGCGATTTGTTCAGGACCAATAAAAATCCCATGATGAGACCGGGAACAGTTAGGCTCTTGTACACCTATACATTCGTGACTCCTACATCAATACCGCCGACCGTATTTACGTGTCTTGGACGCTCTCACAAAAGTGTCAGGTAATAAGAGTCCGGAAGAGAATTACCAAGCCTCAATTTTAAACGGGCAACCCGGTATCCCGACAGAAAATGTCAGTGAATCAGAGTTACAAATCAATAATACATACAGTTTTAGTAATCTAATATATTGGGACTACAGTCTGCAGATGTGCGCTTATGGAGAAATGAATAACTTAAAGCAATTAATCCCTTTGATAAATTTCGATAGTGTGATAAGACGAAGATTATCAGCACTATGTGATATATTAGCGCAATACATTTCGAACAATCTGACCACACATATACTTGTTAAGAACATTTATACATAAAAATAAAAGATCAACTAGACTAGAAATGGAGGGTAATAGGAGACAAGGATAATGAAGAAATAATGTGAAGACAATTTGAAACCTCATCACTCTGGATAATGACCTAATATTACTAGGGTAGGTTTAAGGTGAGAACAAACTGCTTTTTAATACACAGAGGGGGTTTGAATTTTCGTATGGTTAAGGATTCAATAAACCTTAGTATACACCCTTTTACACTTTCGTACAATATCACGAAAGCCGATGCAATTAGATAACTATGATTCATATCACTACACAATACGTGGAGTTGTGTTACCCAAAGTAATGGACTATAAAGATTTAGGAGTCAATAATTAGCGATCTCAAAACTACGAGCAACTGCAAGGCCACTGCTGCCAAAGGCTTTAGTGTATTATTGGCTATTCGAAGGTCTTTTCAGTAATTGGATGAAGAAATATTCAGAGTACTATGCCCAACTTTCACGAGACCGCATTTGGAATATTGGATTCAAGCGGTGAGTCCTTGTTTCGAGAATGAAGCAGATATGCTCGAATGAGTCCAACAACGAGGGACTAAAATGGTAAAACGTCTCTCTGGTAGATCATATGAAGACAGACTGAGATGCTTCAACTTATCTCTATTATCTTACCAAAGACTATAGGGTGATCTAGTATTGGCCTATTGTATCCTGAACGATGACCTGTGTATTACTGCGTTGCCTTTTCCTTCCGTCTAGGAATGATCACTTGAGAGGACATTCTAAGTTCAAAAACCGAGATCAAACCGTATACGCCTGGAGTTTCGTTCCTCGCACCGAGTAGTGAAATGCTGAAATTCTCTACCAGAACACATAATATCAAAACCTTCCGTTGATAAATTCAAAACGAGATTAGACCACATTGTTACAAACTGCAAGGATTAATATAGGTCGATAGACCTAACCTTATTACTGCAGACGTCATTCATTTATATATGTATGAAATGTTCTAAAAAACTACAGCATCGGTTAATGGCATTCGTGTTTAGAATGTTGGCTACTGACTTAAACTGTACTAAAAACGACTTCAGCAATATTTAAGCTCTTGGATAAACTTAGGATAAAATAATAAGGAAGTACACAATAATCTTGACAAAAATAACTAGTCAGTTGCCTAGAAATAGAGAAACGCTCAACTAGTTAACTACTAGTCTAAAACTAGCGCATAGACGATTTTTGTTTCTCTAACTGTTGCCAGTAGCGTTAAAATGTAGAGGTATTTAAACTAAAATTTCCAATAGAATTTCTTCAGTAATTAGAATAGGTTTATCAACCTGTATTCTGGAAATATCAACAAAAGGTGCTCATATTACGTGTTCTGGTAGAGAATTCCAGTAGCTCACTACTCGATGAGAGAAACGAAACTTCTGTGAAAGCGATGCTGGTCCACCAGTAAGACACAATAGTATTGCTATAAACTACAGCGCGGAGCCCTGAACTAACATTTGCACATCAGCAGTGAAGATCAGATTGCATACATACAGCATATCTTAGCAGCAACTAAGGTTAAAACTAGCAACTTACGACCATGTCAAATACACTACCTTTTATGATGGGGAAAACTTTAAACCACTATTGTTATAGCAAATACAGTCTTCGCAAAATAATTACCATGATCAACATGTGCAAGGATACAAACATTGCGTATACGATCAACGTGTTTGGTCAAGGACGAAAGCACCGTACGCCTAACGTTCATGGTTGGCGGGGAAGAATAAATGTCCTTGTAATGAGCAACTCTATCAGTTGGCTAGAATTGCCATTGGAAAAAATCTTCCAATAAAATGTTTATAAATTCTCAGCTTAACTAAGTTCTAACTAAATGCATCTACCTTCTCAACTCATAACCTGAATTTCTTCCGATGACCGAGAACTCTGGTTTTTCAAAGCATTATTCACCATTAAAGTTTCCGGATTCGTTGCCTGAAAATGAACGCACTCAACACCCCGCATGATTTTCGGCTTTTTCATATTCATTGCCGATGTGACGCATTAAGAGCATTTTCCATTGTGATAAAGCATTCACGTTCTGATGTGTTTTGCCGGGCTGATTGATGCAATCGTGGTTTTATTCTTTTAAGCATTGTCGTTATCGATCAGTTTGACTTTTGGGATCTCTAAAATCCCGTAATCATATTACAACGTTATGATTGGTTCTATCAACAAACGTAGGCCACAGAAAGTAATCTCAGGAGTACTGCACAAAGTAAACGACTATTAGCATTTCCTTTGGCATTGTGTATTGATTTCTCTTTGAATTACATAAAATTGGACCATCACAAGCTATAACTCTTCATTTTCTGTTCGAATAAAATTGTGCTGGTATAGCCTGGACAATTGCATCGTCGTCTAAGATGAAATGGGCAACATTGTGAGAACAGTCCGAATATGTTGAAATCAGTGTCGAACTCAGAGACTCTTTCAACTGGTCGAAAGATTGTTGGCACTTTTCAGTTCATTCAAAGTTAACGTTCCATCCTAATAAGGTGAAGATACTACAGGTATTTTTAGTTTGACAACAATTTAACGAATATACTCATAATTGAATCGTGCCCACCCGGTGAAATCAAAAGTCGGAGAGGAGGTCCGAAAATATATTTGATAGGTTATCAATATATCGGGAAGTGACTGATCTAAACTGGCCAGTGGTTGCGGCGCGGCGTTCTAACTCGTGATCTGCTGCGGACACATGTCCAAGCTCCTTCAGCTAGGTGAGTCCATTAAAACTTATGTGGGCAGCATCAAATGTCGAAGATTTACAGAGCTATTGGTTTCGGGGTTTTTGTTGTGCTTGTTAGAACTAATGATTCCTTTGCACTAGTTGAGTGCTGGATTTCGAATTCTAAATTCAGTACATTCGTTTGCGTTTATCTAGTACTTCTTGATCCAGTTGCGTTTAATTCAAATACTCCTAATTATCACAGTTTTGTTTACCATCATAAATGTATGAAGGGAAGCTGCAGTCTCTGAATACCAGCAGATAAACCTTCTGCAATAAGTTACTAAGTTCAGGATGCTGCCGAGTTCATCAGCAGTTTGCGGAACAACCCTGTAGCGGATGCATAACCGAGCGCCTTCAGCTAGGTGAGTCCATTAAATGTGTGGTCAGCATCCAATGTCGAAAACTTACAGAGCTATTTATTTTGGAGATTTATTTACCGCTACAACCCAGTTTCGAATAGCATCAATTTTTTCTCTACTTGAGTGTATTCCTTGATCATCAACGACATGTCTTGGGTATTTAAAGTGCTTCCCCAACAGGTAACATTTAGATAGTTGTACTCCTAAACCAACTCTCTAGAGACGTTCTGCAACTGTATGAGAATTTTCTTAGTGTTCTTCAACAGTTGCTCTATGTATTATAACATTATTCAAATACACCAAGCAAAAGTGTGGCACCATTCCAGTGTTTGATTCATTCACTACCGGAAAGCAGAATGTGCAATAATTAACTCATATGGCATTGTTTGAAACTCACACAGACTGATGGTATGATAAAAGCAGTCTTATGTCGATCGCCTGCATGTACTTCGATTCGCCAACACCCAGATGCTAAATCTGGTGTTGAGAACCACTTAGAACCGGCCAGCACGTCCAAAGTAACGTCTATTCGTGGCAGTGAGAAGGCATTGTAAGATTATGGTCAAGTTAGGAATTGGTACTACTATAATAATAGGTCTTGAAACTGTTCATTTATCATGACTAACTGATTTGACGTGGAAGTCCCATCACTGTCTAGGCCGACTCATTAATCATGACAATCAACAGTATGGAGTCCAGCAATTCTGGAGAACACATCTAGGCCAGAGTGAACAATATATTCAATATAAAGTACAAGGGGAAAGAGTAGAGACAGCCCCTGCAAGGCCGACCCATGACAAAATGATCAATTGTTCCCGCGTTCGCCATTACAGATCTCCTCCAAATGCTACAAATTGAATGTCAGTCACCTCGATAACTATGTGTCCAGCTTCAAGAATCCTGTGGTTGGAGCCAAGACCATTGCAGAATCACGTTTTCGACCTCATTAAGAACATAGGAGTTCGGTAGTACAACGACTGGGAGAATAACAGGATGACTCAGTTTTCAAACGTCGCTTACGAAAGTGAATACGGATTATCATGTACACATGTATAAAAAACCCATGAGTACACATAAACAGTTGATTAGGCTAGATATACAGTTGACAGAATAAATGGAAAAATTAGAATAACTTTATGTCCAAAAGTTAGCGTAAATTAAGTATGCGTTATAGTGTAGACACATATACACCCTCCAAGCTTATGAATTCACTGATTTATGGCGGGATTTGTCTAATCTGGTTGCCGTCTTTTTAGAAAGATTTTTTTCTGCTGCATGGGGTTGCCGACTCCATACCCAAACCTTATCTTTTACCCGGACTTAAGACTGGCAGTAATCCTATAAGAGGTACAGGCGAAGTTACTTAACGTTTGTACTCACATGAAAAAGATAAAGTAAAGATACATGACGAATAGAGTGATAAGCAAACATACTCATTGGTATAACCTAGTGAAAATTAAATTACGGGTAAATTCTAGGATTTATCTATGGACTGTTATTATACATATGTTCTTATTATATAACCCTTAAGTAACTATATTATATGCATGTACACATTTCTCTTATTACAAGCTTCCGTTTGACCTGTTGACTACTATTATACGATTTACTGTTCCCAAGTTATTCCCAATTTATTAGTTCCGGTCTCACACAATCACGGCCACTATTAGCCTGATCTTGTATAGTTGTTATTTCCTGTTTTGTGGTATGATTCTGTCTACTTTGTTTGTACATATACCCAGTGTGTCTGAAATATATGATTCATACAGTAGAAATTGTGTTCTGGACTCAACAGGCATGGCTAGACGGAAGGACCAGCCAGGAATCAGAGTCGACTCTCGGCAGCTCGTACTGGTTAACGCGTCATTGGTTTGGTACAGTATCAAGGTCATATAAGTCACTGTTCTAATTTGTGGAATTAAACACGTGGTAAAACTAGCGGAGTCAAAAGACATAACACTCAGGAACACACATATAAGAAATAATCAAGATTTCAAGAGAGTCATAATCGCTATAGTGTCATGGCGATTATTGGGTTTTTATTGAGACCGTGAATCGACTAATTTCAGGTAACCATTGAAAATGTGGAAGGACTGGATGGCCGTTTCGTTCTAGTATAAGACTCATTAGAGGTGCTCATCCACGATCACGCACGCGGGGCTCGAACTTGGGACGACCGATCTCTCCAAACCATTGAGCTGGGCTCAATTAGTGGTAATGTCTAATTTTAATCAATCTACTCAACACGGTTCGGAATCCATTGTTCACGGCTTCTCATTAAAATGGTGGTCGTACATTGATCGGTTTAAAATCACGATGAAAGCAACAATCTCCACAACCTTATACCGATAATTACAATGTGCTCACTAGTGACTAGCTTCGAGAGGAAATTTCCGGAGTTCTAGTGAAAAGACCTGATCAATGGTGCTAATCCATGTTGAATATGAGGCAGGTACCCACAGAAGGAAATGAAACATAGTTACCCAATGTCTTGGATTAGTTGATGTAGGATATTAGCACCGTTGGATGCCGGCTCATTGACTTAGAGATTGAGCGCTTGTGTGTGAGAAAGACTCTTCTTGGTTTGATCCCCGCCTGCGGAGTAGTGGAGGTACACAGTCGAAAGGCTCCATACTAGAAGATGGCCGTTTAGTGCATTCAGTTTTTCAACCATGGTGTAACATTGATTGGCTCACGCTCTCAGCACAAAAGAACGATTGATATGGTCAAATATATATGATCACGATAGTTCAAAATGATTCGCTTAATTCGTCTGTCAAACATTTAGTGTAGATCGTGTCAACATGTAATAACAATAAATCTTTACAAGCTTATAAATATAAATCGTTCCCGATTTATCATTTATTATAGAAATAATTATCAACCGAAATAAATGAGAATAAATATCATAAACCATAGCAGAAAATCAGTCCGTGGTGTTTCACAACAAGACGTTTCAATGATATGAAACTTATGTAATTTGTATCCCAAATTATTAGTAAGAAACAATGACATAAACATGTCACATCGCTTGTTGGCCCATATTTTTCCCAGATCAATTTTGCGTACTAGCCACTCAATTCCAAAGGCCTTATTTTCAAATAGTATCCTGTTTATGTTACTATACAAAGAGTGAAAATATTACATAGTTAGACATTGTCGACCGTTTGACCTTGAAATGTACTACATTTTAAGGCCATCCATCTCAACACCATTTGTCAAGGTAAAACATTATCAATATCGGAAGATCTCATTTAACTGAGAGACCTGGAGCTGACCTTAAGAATTTAAATTACGATTAGATTCAGTCGTGAAAAATGTTGGATCAACGAAAATCATACGATCAATAGGTATAATAAAATAAGTAAATGGACATACGATTAAACTCTATCAAGCATGAATTTGAAATATCCATATTTCCGTACAATAACAGTTACTTGAAGACATTAATTAGTTTATATGTATATATAGGTTGCCGACAAAATGACCTTAAGACAACGATACGTTAATAAGTATACTTAAAGTAGAAATTAAATACTCAACGTTAAAAAAACCTAACGAAACCAGAATTTACGAGACGTTTTTACATAGTTTATGATATTGGCTAGGTTCACATTCGATA